GCACCTATAATCCCAGCTACTCAGGAGGCTGAGGCAAGATAATCGCGTGAGCCCAAGAGTTTGAGGTTATTGTGAGCTGTGGTGCCACGGCACTCTACCAAGGGCAACATAGTGAGATTCTGTCTCAAACAAAAAGAAAAAAGGAATTTAAGTCTATTGTATTGCATATGATAGCATGTCATATCGCAAATAATACTTTTGTCTGTAACAGTGGTTACATTTTACTTAGTTATACATACCTACCTTTTTTAAAAAATAGATTTGGGTTAGGATTTTGCTTAGAAATGTTTCCTTCACTGAAAGATTATTAAAATAAATATGTTGGGAAAGTATGTGGATGTGAGGAGTGAGGGAGGGATCCAGCTTGCCTCCTTTTCTTTCTCTAAAAATAGTCATTCTTTTCCTCCCACTTAATTATCACGTCATCTTTCTCAAAAATTAAAAGATCATATGCATAAGGACTATTTCTGTACTTTCAATCCTTTTCTATTTGTCTAGCTACTGATTGCCTCTCTGGCACTAAACTTTAAAACATTGTTTTCATATCTGAAAGGTTTCTTCTCTGAAAGAGATGGTGCCACCTTACAGCCTATTTCTCTAGTCCTATAACTCTCTTTTTTCAGAATTTTCCTGCCACTCATCAATGTTTATTTTTTCCTGATGAATTTTAGCATCACTTAATAAATTCCCTTTGAAAATCCTTTTTATAGTTTAATTGGAATTGCCTTGGGTTTGGAGATCGTTTTTGGAATGAATTCACATATTTACGGTATTAAACTGTCCTTTCCCCTATTCATTTGAAGTGCATTTTGTCTTCCCATAGCATTTTAAAGGGTTTTTTCCCCCCTAAATATCAATAAGCCCTTTAGGTTTCTTATTAAGTTTATGAATTGATAATTGATATTTTGCTTGCTATTCTAGTTTGATTTGTTTTTCTTTCATTATACTTTATTTTTGTTCATAGGAAAGTCATGAATTTTTAATATCTATTATATATCCTGCCATCTTATTTAATTTCCTCCTCATTTCTGTTGGCTTTGCAGTCAATTATCTTGGGTTTCTAGGTATGCCCATGTATTGTCTGTGCTGGCTCTTTCTTTATAATATCTACGTCTGTTATTTCTCTTTCTCATCTACTCCTATTGGCCATCACATCCAGAGTGATATTATATGACTCTGGTGTTGGTAGGAACCTTGAGGTTTGATTATTAGATTCATACATATCTAGGGATACCTATTAGCTTCATATACATAAAATATTTCTTTTTGATTAACTGATCCTTCATTGTCATCAAATGTTCCCCTTTATCCCTGGTAATATTCCTGGGATATTCTGGAGTGAGGTGGGGATCCAGCTTGCCTCCTTTTGTGAGGTCTACTTTGCCTCATAATATGCAGTCACTCCAGCTTTAATAATTAGTTTTTCTACTGTAAGACATTTTTGTTGTTGTTGGGGATTCATCGAGGGTACAAAGAACCATGATTCCATTTGCTAGGTAAAGTCCCTCTTATAATTGTGTCCTGTCCCCAAAAGGTGTGTCACACACTGTGTCCTCCTACCCCACTCTCTCCTTTCCTGTCTCTGTTCTCTCCTTCTGCCACCCCCCACCATGTACTAGATCATTAATTGTCCTCATCAGAATTGAGTACATTGGATTCTTGCTTCTCCATTCTTGTGATGTTTTACTAAGAATAATGTGTTCCACTTCCATCCAGGTAAAAACAAAAGATGTAGTCTACATATTTTTTAATGGCTGAATAGTATTCCATGGAATGCATATATCACAGCTTGTTAATCCATTCCCAGTGGCTGGTGACTGTGGCTCAGTGCGCAGGGCGCCGACCCTGGCCAAACTGCAACAACAAAAATAGCCAGGTGTTATGGCGGGCGCCTGTAGTCCCAGCTACTTGGGAGGCTGAGGCAAGGGAATCGCCTAAGCCCAGGAGTTGGAGGTTGCTATGAGCTGTGTGATGCCATGGCACTCTACCATGGGCGATAACATGAAACTCTGTCTCTACCAAAAAAAAAAATCCATTCCTGGGTTGGTGGGCATTTAGGCTGTTTCAATATTTGGGTGATTATAAATTGAGCTGTGATAAACAATCTAGTGCAAGCATCCTCATGGTAAAGGGATTTTTTTCCTTCTGGGCCTAGTAATGGGATTGCAGGATCAAATGGGAGGTCTAGTTTGAGATCTTTGAGGATCCTCTATACTTCCTTTCAAAAGTTGTATTAGTTTGCATTCCTACCAGCAGTGTAAAAGTGTTCCCTTCTCTCCACATCCATGCCAGCATCTGCAGTTTTGAGATTTTGTGATGCGGGCCATTCTTACTGGGGTTAGATGATATCTCAGAGTGGTTTTGATTTGCATTTCTCTAATAATTAGGGATGTCATTTTTTCATATGTTTGTTAGGCATTTGTCTGTCTTCTTTAGAGAAGATTCTATTCACCTCTCTTGCCCAGTGATCTAAGGAATTATTGGCTTTTTTTTTTTTTTTTTTTGCAGTTTTTGGCTGGGGCTGGGTTTGAACTCGCCACCTCTGGCATATGGGGCTGGCGCCCTACCCCTTTGAGCCACAGGTGCCGCCCTGATTATTGGCTCTTTTTATGTTGATTGATTTGAGTTCTCTGTAGATCCTAGTTATCAAGCTTTTGTCTGATTCAAAATATGCAAATATCCTTTCCCATTGTGTAGGTTATCTATTTGCTTTGGTGGTTGTCTCCTTAGCTGTACTGAAGCTTTTCAGTTTAGTTAAGTCCCATTTATTCATTTTTTTATTTTTGCAGTTTTTGGCTGGGACTGGGTTTGAACCCGCCACATCTGGCATATGGGGCCTGCGCCATACCCTTTTGAGCCACAGGCACCGTCCCCCATTTGTTTATTTTTGTTGTTGTTGCAATAGCCACAGAAGTCTGGTAAGACAATTTTATTCTTTTTGTTTGTTTTTTGAGACAGGGTCTCACTGTTGCCTAGACGAAAGTGCACTGGTGTCATTATAGCTCACTGCAACCTCAAACTCCTGGGTTTAAGCCTCCTGAGTAGCTGGGACTACTAGTGTGCACCACTATAACTAATTTTAACATTTTTTTATAGAGATGAAGTCTTGCTATGTTGCTCAAACTGGTCTCAAACTCCTGGCCTCAAGTGATCCTCCTAGCTTGGCCTCCCAAAGTGCTAGGATTATAGACATGAGCCACCTCATGAGGTTTCGTTCATTTTCTTTTAGCATATCTGTGTCTTTGTTTTTTAAAATTTCTTTTCCTATTATTCAGATATAAATGTTATGAATATTTCTTCCTAGTCTGTGGTTCGCTATTTTCTTAATAGAATTTTTTTCTGAGCAGACGTTGTCAATTTTTATAAACTTCATTTCTTAATTGTTTTTAGGATCCATGCTTTTAAATAACCTTTCAAAGAAATCTTCTTCTGACCCAAGACTGAAAAGATTTTTCTCCTGTTTTCTTCTAAAATTTTTCTCCTGTTTTCTTCTAAAATTAGCTTTAATAATTTATGTTTAGGCCTAATAATTTATGTTATGATAGGCCTAGGCCTGTCATTCTTCTTAAATTGATTTCTGAAAATGGTGTGAGGTAGGGATTGAGACCCTTTACACACTAGCATCTAGTTCCATCCCCACTTGGTGCACTTCTTTTGACCTTCCAGCTAGTAGATGACTCCTGATAGCTTTCCAACAGTAAGCACCCCAGCTAAAAATGTGTGTTATGTGGTCTCTCACTACTCCAACTGTGGTCTGCAGAAAGGAACATCACGGCACCCCGGGAACTTGTTAGAAATTCAGAATCTGGCACCACACCAGATTCTTAACACAACCCTCAGGAGACTTATAGGCACGTTACATTTTGAGGAGTACTGGTGTGGATAGTTTTTGAGGGAGAAGGAGGAATGTCATTATGACATTTGCTGTCTCTCACAGACGGTTCAGGCCCGGCAGGCTGGGGAAGAAGGAGGGGCTGCCTACCGATTTCTTCTGAATGATGTACAGTGCTGGGCCTACTCCCAGACTGAACCTCTGGCTGGCCTCTTGCAGTTTCTGCTGCGCGGCTCTTTGCTGCTGGGGTTGATCAGGGAGGGGACTCATCCACTTCCCCACTCCTCGCCCTCTGATGCCCACAGCCACCTGCTCACTCACGCAGCAGCTCCTGCGCTCTCCTCCATACACATTCTTCCACTCCTGAGCCTCAGTTTTCTCAACTTCGGAGCCAAAATAATAATGGTCTCTGTCTCAGGGGCTAATGTGATGCGAAGTGATCTGAGGAGTACCTGGGCATAGATATAGCACAATAGAACTCAGCGATTGTCATGCCATTTCGGAGCTCTTTCCCCGGGAGAAGTCCCTGGACTCCAGTCGCCTTTCCCCCCGCAGCCCCACCCTCTCCTCCAGCCTGGCAGATCCGAGCCCGCCTTCTCCCCTGTTCCACTTCTTCCTCCCAGCTCCGCGCCCCAGCGCAGCACGCACCGATAAATCTTTCCCAGCATGTTGCATTGTTACAGCGAGTTGCCCTCGCGTCCGTCCGGCCCCTCGCCCCGGCTTGGGTGTTCCTCAAATCCAGGATCCCTGCCTTGGTCGTCTTTGAAGCCTCAGTCCCCTGGCACAGTTCCTGGCACTTGGAAGGCGCTCAATAAATGTTTGCGAAATCGAATTCTGCGTTGAGCAGGTGTCCACCCCTTTATTCGCCGGGGGTTGGGTATGTGCGGGCGGTGGGGTCGCAGGGAAGGCTGGCTGTGTGCCCGGGCAAGGGGACACGCGTGCGCGCGCGCGCACACACACACACACACGCAGGGACTCCAGGAGCAGGAGAACGGGAGGGGTAGGACGCTGGTGAGCGGAGCTAGGGCTCGCGGGGGACAGCGGTGCCCGCCGGCGAGTCTGCCCGCGCTCCTCCCCCTCCTCCCGCGCCTCCTCCGGCTCCACCACCCCCGCCCCGTGCGGCCGCGGTAGGGAGGGGCCGGGAGGGCGGAGCCAGCGGCGGCCCAGGCAGGGGCACCCGCGCGCCTCGGGGTCGCGGAGCGGAGATCCCAGCGTAAGGAGGTAGGAACCGATAAGGGAGCGGGTTTCCGCGGCTGGAGGGCCGGGCTGGGAGGGAGGATGGGCTGAGACCCGTCCTGAGCGTGCTCTGGCAGCCGCGCGGCCCAGCGAGCCCCCAGCTTGGGGGGCTCAGTCTCCGCCCCTCCGTCCCCCGCTTTCCTTCTCCTGTACTCCCACCCCGGAGCGCCCAGCTCTTTCCCCGCCGCTTAGTGTCCACTGGGACCACCCTCCAAGCGTCCCCCGGGCTTAGCTGCTTCGCCCAGCAATGCTCCTTGTTCGTCCCACAGGTTCCTTCCGAGGGGAGCTGGAGCCAGTGCTCGGCCGCCTGAGGGGAGATGGGTGGGCACAGCTGGAAGCAGCTGGAGGATGAGTCCGGTGTTGAGGGGGCGGGGACTGGAGGGCCCGCGTACCATTCTTACGCCTCTTAGTGTCACTGATGCTCAGCGCAGCGGGTTGGCTCCATGTTTGTAGAATGAATGAATTACGTCTCTCCTTGTCCCCTTCTGAAGGAGGACTTTTTGAGGTCCACGTGCTGCAGAGCACATTTAGGGGCCTCATAAGATAGGGGTCCCACCCTCTCTCATGTCGCGTAGTAGAAACCTGACTTTCATTTCTGTACTCCCTTTTTACACTCCATTCTGGCGTCTCCCTTTGGGTTGGAGGTTGGGGACAGGTTGCAGGAGAGGGGTCTTGTAGGCCCAGAAAGCACTTGTTGAAGGTGTGTCTGGGCAGGGGACTTGAGCATGTGAGGGGGCATGGGAGTCGGGGGCTGCTGTACAGGAGAGCATCCACTGTCAGGCAGGGATCACTTGGCCACCTCCAAGGCCAGCTTGGGAGAGGTGACTCTGATCCACAAGTTACTTACCAAGCCCCAAACTCCTCCAAGGCTTTGTTTCTTCATCAGTGAAATGGAAACATTAGTATTCATTCCTCAGGACTTTACCCAGATTAAGAAAAACATCATATAAAATCACCCAGTACAATGCTTGGCACATCAGGGGCATTTGGCAAATCTTAATCTTATTTTCTTCTTTTCTGAAAAAGATGAAAGTGAGCAGAGTGATTTGTTCCCTTCTTCTCTGTCACGAACTAATCACAGACACAGGAGATGTGTGATTACTGTTTGTTGAATAAATATGCTTGATGGAGTTTCAGCACCTAGTCCCCACCCCCTTTCTCTCAGAATCTGCAGGGAGAGCTGGGGACCTGACCGGCACAGGCATGCCAGTGCTGTCGGAGGACTCGGGTGAGTGTCTCTCCTGGACTGGGCCTGCCACAGCCTGGAAGACTGCAAGCCCTAGCAGTGAGAGCCTGGGGAGAGAATGTCTTCAGGGCTGGGCTGTAATATTGTTTGAAGGTCCGCTCAGGGACCTCAGGGACAGGGAGTCCCCATTGCATCTGCTATACTTTATTTTTCTTACACTCTTCTCAGGTTTGCATGAAACCCTGGCCCTGCTTACCTCGCAGCTCAGACCTGACTCTAACCACAAGGAGGAGATGGGCTTCCTAAGGGATGTCTTCAGTGAAAAAAGCCTCAGTTACTTAATGAAGGTGAAGTCCCCTTTGCTTCTACCTGGAGAGGGTTTCTAGAGGTCTTCCTAGATGTCAGTGACCCTTGGAGGCCATTCTAGCTATCCCCCTGACCCAGGAAGAATTTTACTGCCCACTAGGCATGACTTTCTCTCATGCTTCCCCATCACCCAGTTTGCAGCCTTAGTTGTCCTCACAGCTGTGGGTAGGGGTGTGGTGTCCAGAGCAAGCCTGAAATTGGCTATCTTTGCAGATTCATGAGAAGCTTCGCTATTATGAAAGGCAGAGTCCAACTCCAGTTCTGCACAGTGCTGTGGCTCTCGCTGAGGATGTAAGACCCAGCTTGTCTTCTAATCCCCACTCTTTAGGGCTGCATTATTTTGCTTGTCACCATTGCTTAGCCAGGGGGATATTGGGAATTGGGAATTCAAAAGTGAAGAAGTATCTCCTTTCTTTTCTTCCTCCTCTTCTCTGGGTTCCCCGATAGACAGGGAGGAACCTGTGAGCCTTGGAGCAGGCTGACAGATGCAGTGACATGGAGCCTCCCACTTATGGTGTGTTCTTGAGAAAGTTCTCATGAAAGTCAGTTTCCTGGTTGGGTCAGTTCAGCAGTTCCCAAACCATTCTGAGGACTGGTGACTTGTCAATTAGCACGTTGCCTCTGTGCTTTGGGGAGGCCAATGTGAAGTCCTGACGTCAAGGGACCTGACTTGCATCCCTGCTTACTGGTTCAAGCTTCTCATTTTTTAAAGGGATGTATGTTAATGTCTTGTGGACCTAGTCCTCTGTGTTGTGTGGCTGGGGACACACTGTGCCAGTTGATAACTGAGATGAGCTCCTGAGCCAATCACCTAACCCCAGGAGATGGCCCAGCGAGAGATGGGGCAGATCCCCTGTGCCCTTCTCCATGGAATGTGGAGTGGAATGTGATGAAGAGCACGTTAGGTTGCTCGGCTCCCAGGCACAGTGCTGCCTTTACCATTAGCTCTGTGACCTTAAACAAGCCACTTAACCTCTCTGAGCTCCAGTTCCCTCTTTCATAAGATAGCATCATGGTGCAGGCACAGACAACAGAATCACATAAGCCCAGGCTCAGATCCTGGCTGTGCTCACTTAAGAGCTTTGTGACTTTGGGCAAATGGTTAGTCTCTTTGAGCCTCAGGATTCTCATCTATAAAATGGCAAGGTGTTAATAAAAGGCCCTGCTATATGTAGTTTGTTGTGAGGGTTAAGTGAGGACGTGCACATAAAGCAGAGGGCGCACAGGAGGTTGATGTATTAGCTCTCAGTAGGATTACCACGCAGAACTGCTCAAGCGCCCCTGAGCCCTGGAATGGTTTCTCTGAGAGCCTCCATCCCGCAGTGACTGAAGGGCTGATGTGTCCCTGGGTGGTGCAGCTGTTCCTGGAGGGGAGGACCTTGAGTCTGCGGTCCAGGGAGAAGGGTAGACTTGGGACCGGGGCACCCCAGCTGGCTGTGGCATTCTATCTCATTCCTCTGCAGGTGATGGAGGAGCTGCAGGCCGCCTCTGTGCACAGTGATGAGAGGGAGCTGCTCCAGCTGCTGTCCACCCCCCACCTCAGGGTAGTCACGCCGCAGCCCCTGCCCGCCCACACCTCTGTGTCTCCTGGGGTGGGGGTGGAGGGAGCTCTTGGCATGAAGAAATCTGAGGGAGGCTCCTCAGCCCCATTGTCTGGGGTTGTTTTCCCTCTGTCACAGTGTCCCAAACCCTCCAGGCCCCTGCCCAGCCACAGCCCACTGAGTCCTGTGGGTTGGGGGCCAGCCCTTTTCTCTTGCTTTCCTGACAGGCTGTGCTCATGGTTCATGACACGGTTGCCCAGAAAAATTTCGACCCTGTTCTCCCCCCTTTGCCTGATAATATTGATGAAGATTTTGATGAGGAATCAGTGAAGATTGTCCGCTTGGTGAAGAACAAGGAACCCCTGGTATGTGGTTCCTACCCCTCCTTCTCACTCTTCCCTGGCACCTCACCCCACCCAAAATACTGGGTGACCTTATGAATGCTTCACAGTTAGTGGTAGCAACTTTGTCAGGGCTGCTCCTGAAGCACTTTTGTGTCTAGGTTACCCATTTTTCTGGCCAGATACAGCCCCCTCAACTGTGGCCAAGCCACTTTGTATTGTAAATTACTTGCACAGCTATATGGAGCAGCCTTGATCACCCCCTGAACCAGAGGTGGACAAATCAAGCCTAAGGGCCAAACCTAGCTCATGGCTTATTTATATAAAGAACGTGTTTTGGAAACATGGCCGTAACTATTCCTGACATATGGTCCGTGGTTGCCTTTACACTATTGTGGGACAGTTGAGAAGCTGTGACAGAGACCACATGGCCTGCAAAGCCTAAAATATTTACATTTGGCCTTTTACAGAAAAAGTTTGTGGATCCCTGCTCAGAATACTGGGGAGTGTAGGGCCCAGGTCTCCCTGTCCCTAGCTGACAGATGGTTATCCTTTGGTCCTGGCTCAGCATTGATTTACTGAGCGAAGGGACAGGATTGTTTATTAGATGGAGGGAAGTGGTGGATGTCCAGACAGTTGAGGGCTTGCTCTGGGGAACACCACAGCTGGCATTCTCTATTTTCAACTTCTGCCAACAGATGAGGATATCTTCTCTGCCTCTATTTCCTTGCTGGAAAAATAGGGCAGTCATCCATCGATTTGGCTAACATATTATGAGCCCTCCTGTGCAGGTTCCACGTTGGGTGCCTGCAGTTCAGAGCTCAATAAACAATGGTCAGAGATGCTGAAAGATTTGTAGATCTAGGGGACGACAAGCTCTGGGGTTCTTAGCTGATGACCTCTCTTTCCAGCAATAATTATCTCATATACTTCAAGTAGGTGACATGGAGGAGGTTAATAATGAGTGTGAAAAGGTGTTTGCAGTTATGGCCAGTAATGCACGGTTAACGTCTGTGATGCTTACTGTGTGCTAAGTGCCTTGTGTGCATTTCCTGACGGAATCCTTGCAATACCCCTGTGAGTTAAATATAATGCTGTGCCCCAGAGGAAGCAGGCTCAAGAGGACAAGGGACTTCTGTACTTAGGCCACATGCTTTCAGTAAATGGCAGAGCTGGGTTCACACCGAGGGCTGTCCAAATCCAGAGCTTAGCTCTCAACAGTCCAGCCTGCATGGTGCAGGGAATTGGGGCTCATTAGTGCCTTTGTCATCATAGGTGCCATCTTCACTGTGCTTGATGGGCCAAGTCCTTGTCCCAAAGCTCATCTGGGGCATAATTGGTTCCCCTTGACAACAACAGAGGCCCAATAACCCTGTGGTTGGAGGCAGGCTGAGACTGCTGACGCATACTACCATCATTATTAAATGTCTTTGCAAGAGTAAAGGCTGTGAAATGGTAGAGAGGTGACCGAGAAAGCACAGGGTTTGGCATCATTAAAAGCTTTCCACCTTACCAGGTGGGTGACCTTGAGGATGCTTAACTTCTCTGAGCCCTAGTCCCGGTCATCTAAAATGTCTCAGGGTTACTGGGCTTTGTAAAATGTAAAGTGCAGTGCTATGGTAATGGGAGATGCCAGTGTTATTGTGTCCTCCCGACTCGAAAGGAGCCCAGTGATCCACCCTCTGGGGTTGCAGAGGAGGGCTGGGGGAGGCTGTGTTGGGCCCAGAGTCAGGGTCTGTGATCTGGGACAGCTTCTTAGGAGCCTGCCTGCTCTGTGTTGGATGCAGGGTGCCACCATCCGGCGGGATGAGCGCTCAGGGGCTGTTGTGGTGGCCAGGATCATGCGAGGGGGCGCCGCAGACCGGAGTGGTGAGTGGTGGCAATGCAAAGCCAGCCTGGCCAAGATGATGGCCGTCATCCCAGGGCCTTCCCCCTTTGCTCGCAGGCCTCCTCACCCCCTTCCTGTTGGGTCACCTGTTTGGGATGTGCTTTGCTTTCTGGGATTGGAGCTGGAATTCTCACCTCCTCCCAAGTCCAGTAGAAATTTTAATAGAAAGTATAACAGGCATGGAGGATTTTGCGGCCATCAGAAAGGGCTCCTGAAGCTCATGCATTGACTTAGCTTGAGGTCTATGATAATTAAGCACATAGTATGGGCTTGATAGGGCATTTCTAAGTGGGGGCAAGAAGACATCCTGCCCCCCAGCTCCATGTGCTTTGCAAGCTGCTCTTAGGGAGAGAGTGTGTTCATGTCCCAGATTTGTTTGGGTGGAAAACAGAGTGAGAATCAGTGGTGTGTGGGGGAACTGCTAAGCTGGGAGGTAAACCTCCTGGTGTAGGGAACATTACCCTGAAGTCTGGGGAGTTGTTGCAGAAAATCCTAAACCAGTACTTCTCAAACATTAACAAGCACATGGATGCCTGGACATCTTGTTAAGGTGCAGATTCTGATGCAGCAGGGTCTGGGCTATGCCCGACATTCTGCACTCCTAACCTGCTCCCAGGCAATGCTGCTGTTGCTACCCAGTGCCCAGAGTGAGTAGTAAATAGGACCCCACTATATGCAGGGATACTTGTTGTTAAAGCAGAGGTTGATAGACAGTGTGTGTAACCCTCTTGATGGCATCTCCACTAGTGCCTTTAAGTTTTCTTGTTAAGACTTAAGAAGACCATTCTTGGAGTGTGTCTGTAAATCCAGCAGAGTGAAGAATTGATGACATCGTTTAGAAAGCAGAGGTGGTAGCAGAAAGAACATAAGCTTTATACATCAAAATAACTGTGTTTGAATACTGGCTCCATTCTTTCTTAGCAGTGTAGCCCTGGGCAAGCTGCTTAATCTTCCTGGGTCTCAGCTGTCAACTTGTAAATTGGAGATTTCATCTAGTGATTGTGAGACTGCCATGCCCAGTGAAGTGCCCAGGGTGCAGCAGGGCTCAGTTTACCCCAGTCCCACTTGCTGGCTTTAAACCTGGAGTCCTCTGTGTAGCAGGCTCTTTGGATGCCTGGAGTTCTGAGCCCTGGGGACCGAGGCTCTCTTCCTGTGCTGATGATCATCCCTGTGTCTCCTAGGCCTGGTCCATGTTGGAGACGAGCTCCGTGAAGTGAATGGGATCGCAGTCCTGCACAAGCGACCTGATGAAATCAGCCAGATCCTGGTCTGTGCCATGTGCCTGCTGGGAACATGGGGGGTCTGCAGATACCACAAGCAGGGTGCTTCCTAGAGTCAGGGCAGTAATTAACTCAACTAGGGCACTATCCTCAGGTGGGCCTCAGGGGGTGCTGTGAGTCTGACTTTCATTCTGAACATCAAGTTTTTGGACCTGAGAAATAAGACTCAAACTTGAGACGGTTTTGGACCTGGCAGGTGATAAACCTCTGTTCCCTCTCCTTTCAGGCCCAGTCCCAGGGATCCATCACCCTAAAAATCATCCCAGCCACCCAGGAGGAGGATCGCTTAAAGGAGAGCAAGGTAGGGGCGGTGTGCTCATGCGGCCCTCTTGCCGATTAGGAGACACAGCCTGCTGGCTGGGCTGATCTAGTCCTGCCTTTTGAAATAGTCATTTGGGAACAGATCCTAGATCTGGTCCTAATAACCTGTAGAGGACTTGAATTAAGGCACAGAGTGATTCATTTGTTTGTACTCTGCCTCTTTCTAAACAGAATTTGACGTAGCTTACTAATAAAAGACAAGGTTATTTGAATTGAAATAGAAAATCAAGGCCATGAAGAGGAGGAGAAGGTACTAAATGTGCTGGATTCTGGACCAATTAAGTAACTGCCATTTGTTTAATTATTTGAGCCTTACTTGGACACTTCCTCTGTGCCAGGCACGCAGCCAGATGCTGGAGACAGCAATGATTAGTGGCTTTTAGGGTTCCTGATGCCAGGGAGCAAGTCTTTCATTGCTGTGTGATAAGTGCTTTGGCAAGATTCTGTACAAAGAGTTACAGTCACCTTGGAGATGTCACAGAATGGGGGTGTTGGAACTGAGGCTTGAGGGAGGTAAAGATGAGTAGGACTTTGGGGGGAAGCTGAGGCAGAGATATCTGCATGTCCAGATGCTCTGTGGTGTTACGGAGAGGAGCGTGTGTAGGAAGCAGTGAGAAGGAGCAGTGTGGTTGAGCCTGGCGGAGGCTGGTGGTGGGTTTGGAGGTAGGCTAAGCCTGTGTTCCTGACTAACCTTGTATGCTTTGTTAAAGGTTTTGGTACAATCCCTGCTTAGGTGGAGGCCTCTTAGAAGCTGACCCTGAGGCAAAGATTTGAATGCCAGTGGTTTATTGGGAGGCTACCTCAGGAAACACCAGTACAGGCATGTGGAAGGGAAGGCAGTCAGTCTGGCCAAGGCCATGTTATCAAGCAAGTTATGATTTGGGCAAGTGGAGTTTAATCCTGCTGGGGAGCTTGGGGATCCCTCGTAGAATCCATACCTCTGTCATCTCACCCAAGAGACCTGGGAGCTGGCTGGTTTATACACCAACTCCTACCAGGATCTCCTGGGGGATTAATTCCTAGTAATTCCTGCCTGCTGGGTTTGGGTAGAGCAGGCTCCAGTGGCCAGAGAAAGTAAATCTTTAGGCATGAGAGGCAGGTGCAGGTACTGGAAGTCTTAGGCAAAGAGATGCAGGTGCTGCCAGCAAGTACTGGCAGACGCAGATGCTGGCAGCTGACCTGGAAGTCAGCCAGGGTGCACTGAAATGGTGTAGCCCTAGGGGATATGGGAAGGCATCCACAAGATGACCCCGTAGGTCAGTAGTTCTCAACTTTCCTAATGCCGCAATGTATTTTCGTTGTTAAAAAGGGGTCACGGCCCACAGGTTGAGAACCGCTGCCATAGGTGGTGAGAAGCTCTTAAAGGTATTTTTCTTTTCTTTTTTGAAAAGAAGTGGGTAAAACAACTATACTTGTGTTTTAGAAAGCTCCCTGGGGCAGCCAGGTGGAGGAGACTGGAGTGGGTGGGGGCTAGGGTCAGGGAGGTCTTACAGGAGGGTGTTGTAAGACCCCAGGTGAGAGGTTATTAAGACCTGAACTGAAGTGGTGGTAGAGGGGTGATCACTTTGACTTCACTATAAATTTGGTAAAAGGTGAAAGATTTATATGATCTGAAGAGAAACCAGAGTATGACTTCACTATAAATTTTGGATTTGAGCTTCCTGGCAGCCAAGGCAGAAAGGTGAAAATGATGAATTACATACTATTCATCAGGATGTAAGGATGTAAGGATAGGAGGAAGCATGCCAAGCTTTCAGGATTGATTCCCACCCTGCCCTCCCAATACTTAAGGCAGGTAAGAAGAAATATTACAAGGTTGAACACAGTGGCTCACCCTATGATCCTAGCACTTTGGGAAGCCAAGGTGGGAGGATCACTTGAAGCTAGGAGTTTAAGACCAGCCTGAGCAAGAGGGAGACCTCATATCTACAAAAAAATTAGAAACAAAAAAAAGAAAAGAAAAGAATTAGCCAGGCACGGTGGTGTGTGCCTAGAGTCCCAGCAACTGTAGGCAGTTGAGGCAGGGGAAGCCATTGAGCCCAGATTTTGAGGCATTAGTGAGCTATGATGATGCCACTGCACTTTAGCCTGGATGACAGAGCAAGACCTAGTCTCAAAAAAGAGAGAGAGAGAGAGAGAGAGAGAGAGAGAGAGAAACATTACAGCATCTGGCACAGAAACAGAAGAGGCCAGAAGGGATGTCAATAAATACTTTGATGAATGAAGATTAATAAGAGACAATGTCTTCAATGACAATTTTTTTTTATAGCAAGTAAAGAGATAATCTTTATATGGATTTTTTTATTTGCACTCTTTGATTAAATCTCAGGACATAAGTAATATTGACTCTTATTTGGTGGAAGGTGATTATTCCTGGGACAAGTTAATGTGGTCCACTGTATATGCAGTTTTGACGCAGGAGAGAACTTGGTTTTCCCAGAGGACAAAATGGCTAGCCTGTCCCTCAGTCCCTCCTTCTGGAAAGTTGATTCTTGATTTAGATCTTGGTCTGGGCTGGTCACTTAAGATTACACCCTTTCCTGTGTGCCTGGGACCCTAGTAATAACATCTGTGACTAGATGAAAGTGTCTGTTCCCATGATATGTGGCCAGAAAGTTCTTATTATTGTCTAATTGTATCTTTTCTGGTTGGCACATAAGGGACTATAGTTTGGTCTGTCTGAGAAAGACTCCCAATTGCTTTGTTTTTCAATTTGTTGCCGAGGTAATTGGTCTCTGATGGTCTGGAAATAGAAATACATAAAATAAATCCATGCCACTGACTTATAGAAGAAACTGAGGAAGTGTGAAAAAGTGCTGTGTCCTCACCCCATCTTCTCCTGAGAGGGTGACTCCAGGGTAGAGGGAGGAGTTGGGGCTGGACCAAGTCTATGGCAGTTGAAGCAGGATCGAGCTATAAAAACTGGGTGTCAATTACCCACTGAAAGTGATGCCGAGAAACCAGTAACAGTAGTTTTGTTGATATTTATGTTCTTACCAAAACATCTAGATTACTTATATAACAGATGGCGGCAGTTGGCTTGACATAAATAACATTTGGGTTGGAAATTGTGCTTGCTTAACTTTTTGTTCCCAGGATTAGTTGTTGTTGTGTCTATGCTAAAAGGCTGGTTCGAGGGCAGCAGGTCAGGTAAATAAGGAGATATGTGGGTGGGAAAGAGAAATTTGACCATCTAAAGCTGTTTGATTCCTGATGGATTTCCCAACTATGATATCCAAAATGGTCGAACAACAACAACAACATAGGTGCGGGGGGTGAGGGGGGGTGGGGGTCTGATCTTTCTATTCTCAAGGCTGCTTGTTCTTCCTAAGTGTGGTTGGTCACTGTCATTTGGCCTTCGATGCGGAGAAAGGCCACCTCACTGAAGCCCTCCCTGTGCAGGTATTCATGCGGGCTCTCTTCCACTACAACCCTCGGGAGGACCGGGCCATCCCCTGCCAGGAGGCAGGCTTGCCTTTCCAGCGCAGGCAGGTCCTGGAGGTGGTGAGCCAGGATGACCCCACGTGGTGGCAGGCCAAGCGAGTGGGGGACACCAACCTCCGAGCCGGCCTCATCCCGTCCAAGCGGTTCCAGGAGAGGTGGGTCTGGGGTGTGTTGTAAAGTGCTGGTTCCAGCCTGGCAGAGGCTCGGGTCCATGATAAGCCCTCTAGTTTCTGCCACCACTGCCAGAGCGGCCCACTGAGTGTTGTGCCCACCGAGGTAAGTACCAATTATAGTTGTCTGTGTTCTTATTCCATAACAAGAGGTTCTGTTTAAGACTTAAAGAAATGCATGGAAATTTATGCTATTAAGTTAACATAAATTTTATGATGCACAGAGGAAGTTGAGAAATAAAATATAAAAATGCAGAAGAGGAGGACTAGGAAAAGAAAATTACCCAAAGTCTCCGTCACTATCAAAGCAGCATCCTTTATTTCTTTCCTGTGCTTTTTATCTGAGTGTTGCATGTAGAATTTTGGGTCTTGCTTTTTTTGTTTTGTTTTCTGAGACAGAGTATTTCTCTGTCACCCCTGGGTAGAGTGCTGTGGCATCATACATAGCTCACAGCAACCTCAAACCCTTGGCCTGAAGCAATCCTCTTGCCTCAGCCTCCTAAGTAGCTGAGACTACAGGCGCCACCT